AAATGTTTATCTGAATGTTTAACACAAAGTTGTACGCGTTTTTAACCAGGAGGAGGCAGTAGCTTTGCTGATAGTGTCAAAAGGAATTTCATTACAAGATTTAGTTAAGTTCAACTTCAATCAATCAATTTCGACGTATATCAAAACGACATTTTTACAAGTGATTTCGGTATACACTCCAAATACCGTAATACATAACATTCAAATCTGGACTTTTAGAGGCCAACTGAGATGGAATAATCTTATTACTAGCAATACATTTTTGAAAAAAAAATATTACCAGCAATACATTTAAAAATATTACCAGCAATAAATTTTTAAATAGGAAAATATTACCAACAATAAATTTTTGAGAAAAAATCATTACTAACAATTCAATGTTTTTTTAAAAAAAAATTACTGGCAATACATTTTTTAAAGAAAATAGACCAGCAATACGTTTTTTTTAAATATTAACAGCAATACATTGAAAAAACATTACTAGCAATACATTTAAAAAAAAAATGACCAGCAATACGTTTTTTTAAAAAAATTTTAACATCAATACATTGAAAAAATATTACTAGCAATACATTTTTGAAAAAAAAACATATAAAAAATATATATATTACTAGGAATATATTTTTTAAAAAGAAAAAATATTACGAGCAATTCATTTTGGAAATATATATCACCAGCAATACATTTGCCTGTCGACTAAAACTCTCTTTACAAAATACATGTAATGAAACCTGATCTTTAAACTCATTTCTTACAAAGAATACATATTCTATTCATACGAACGTATCCGAAAAATTTTGCCGGCTTTAAATGACCCAGTTAGCTTGATAAGCCGTAAAACAAAATAAACGCAGCCAAGCCTAAATTTTAGGCATTTAATTACGTAGAATTTTGATTTGTAGTGGATTTGTAGTGGATATGTGTATGTTCTAAAGTAACACTGCATAATATATATATATATATATATATATATATATATATATATATATATATATATATATAAATATATATATATATATAAATGAAATCTTACTTATTATAAAACGCAGATTGTGTGTGTGTGTGTGTGTGTCTGTAACGTTTATATATTGGATCGGATTTCCTACATTTTTCAATCGATTTCAACAAAACTTCACAGGACTACATAAAATTACCTTGTGGTGGTTCTAACAGCGCCAAAAATGGGAAAAATATAATTGTTTTTGCACGAAATCAATTTGAAAACACGATTAAGAGACATCGTGAAAATGGAAGGGGGACAACTCACATCGGTTTGTTTGTGTGTGGGGGTTCCTTTAAATATGGGAGCGGATTTCCTATATTTTTCAGCCGATAAAACAGAACTTCACTTTTTTTTTTGGCAGGTAGTGTTTCTTATTCTCTTGCACACTTTTTTCTTTATTTTTAACATTCAGAATGCTTTAAAAATTCCATTTACAAGACAATTATTTATAATAAAATTCTATTCAATCAGTAGACTCATAACGATTGAAAACCATGTTTTTGTTTGAGTTTGGGTTTGACCAATTCGTAAAAAATAAAAATAAAAACAATAATTAAGACATGCGTGTCCGTCAACCTTAAACAATAATCTAACGATCTCTACTGATTGTACGAATACAAACATCGGAATAAATTCTTTATCTTTAGGGAAAGATAATGAAATCTAAAATACACAAGTCCTAACTAAAAATAATAACCGGAACGGGAAACTACTTTAAATACACATGGTGTCCAATTTTTTTACTGTATTCAATAAGTAAAAATCATAAATTGTAAAAGATTTTTATATATTACAGAGAAGGCTACTAAATGAATAAGATTTGTTAGATCATAATTAATAAACCCAAATAAAGTTAATATTTTTTGTATTAGAAACAACGAGTGAAAAATATATTCAAATCAGAATTCTAATTATGAATCACCACAAGCAAAATATGCAATTTTTTTTTACTGTATTCAATAAGTAAAAATCATAAATTGTAAAACTAAAAGATTACAGAAAGGCTACCTACATTTTTCAACCGATTTCAACAAAACTTTTTTTTTGGCATGTAGTGTTTCTTATTCTCTTGCACACTTTTTTCTTTTATTTTCAGAATGTTTTAAAAATTCCTTTTTCAAGACAATTGTTTAATTGTTTATAATAAAATTCTATTCAATCAGTAGACTCATAACGATTGAAACCAATGTTTTTGTTTGAGTTTGGGTTTGACCAATTCGTAAAAAAAAAAAAAAAAAAAACTAATTAAGACATGCGTGTCCGTCAACCTTAAACAATAATCTTTGTCAATTTTATTTTTCAGTCTTTATGATGGTCGATACTTGATCTATCTCTCATTGTTATATCCCCGGGCAACGCCGGGATCTACTGCTAGTATATATATATAAATAAAATATATATATATATATATATATATATATATATAAATGAAAATATATATATAAATAAATATATATATATATATATATATATATATATATATATATATATAATAAAAAGGCTTAAGCACTAATATTCCATGGTCATAATTTATTCCATTGGAATCGTAAATACGATCCAATTCATCAGACCTACAAATTCAAAAAAAAAGGAAAAAAAAAAAAATAACTCCGGAAATAAAAAACAGAATTTAGAGAGAGTAAGTATGAGGAGGAGGGAGATTAAACCTTAACAGAGAGAATTTTAGGAGAGGTGGGCGGAAGGGGTTTAATTAAGAGAAAAAAATGAATGAAAGGAGAGAGATGGGGCGAAGGAAAGTGAAATTGCGTTTACTTAAAGGGCCGCTTTGTAATTGAGAAAATTTGAGAAGTTTAATATCGACTGCAGGTTACAAATCAAATATAAACATATAAAAAATAAATATAACGATTATCTGATCCAGCAAGGACCTATATTTTTATGTTCAAAAACACATGCGAATACACACATACACAATAACATATACACGTATATACAAATAGGCGTGTACCCACATACAGACATTTATATACCCATGTACACACATATAAAAATATATTCACATATCTACACATACACATATTCATGTATATCCACACACACACACACACACATATATATATATATATATATATGAATCTCAAATTAAAAAAAACAACATTTTTGTTGAAATTAACTTTACGTCTGATTATTATCCTACCAGCCACCTCAGCGTCCTTTGAAAAATTAAACATGTCGTCATATTTGTCTACAATCAGGATACATTTGAAGCTTACATGTCTTCTGCAGTTGTCAATGATGTCCGAAGTTTATGATGACATGAAAAAATAACCCCCCCCTCTACCTTCACTCTCTGAGCTTAATTTTCTATTTAGCATATATCTGAATTGGCCGATCAAGACAAACCCACGAGTTTATTTTTAATTCTGACCTTGTGTTTCCTCACTCTACATTTTGTCTTTAGGAAAAAGAGGCAACACTTTGCTTTTGTAATTTTCTTAAAAACCATTTAATCCCCAGTTACTTACCATCTCCTGAAGAGGTACAACGTAGTGTCGAAACACGAAAGTTATTGTGCAGCGATTTCAACAGGTTTTTATTATAATCTCTTATAATAAAAATATGATCTATCTATCTATCTATCTATCTATATTTTTAATCTCTCATAATAAAAAAATATTAAATATTTTAAAAAATTAAATGCTACGAACAGTGGAATTTAACATCTGTTCTTTCTATATATATATATATATATATATATATATATATATAGATATATATTCATACACGTTTCATTAAATAATATAGACAAGTGCTGTCTATTTATTTTATGTAAATTCTTTTCATAACGTCTGAACTTGTCTATATTATTTAATGAAACGTGTATGAATGAAAAGATGCTGCTTAAATACACACACACATATATATATATATATATATATATATATATATATATATATATATATATATATATATATATATTAAAAAGAAGAGAGAGACCGCAAACGTTTTTGATTGTAATGTGGATTAAAAAAATATTATGCTTTATTTTTCATATATATATATATATGAAGAAAAATATACAGAAAAAACAAACAAAAATCTTAATATGCAATTATGCGGTATTAATGTTAATATAAAGTCAACTTCGGACGTTTCGGTCTATTTTAGACCATCATCAGGACATATTCATTAAACATAATTAACATTAGAACATATAAAATTCAACATGAAAAGACGATGGACATAAGAGCACAACTAATGCAAACAGATAACTGAAATTTTTATATAAGATCAGCGTTCCGTTTAAATATGATCCCATATATATATATGAAATACACACACACACACACACACACACACACACACACATATATATATATATATATATATATATATATATATATATATATATGACGAAGATATGGATATTAGATATATGATTCTAATCGTCTGTTAAGGAGAATATGAACGAATGCGGAAGTATGGCAAATCGCGTAAACGTAGAAGAAAATGAGGAATCCGTTTTCTTGCAAAGATTTTGCCCCAAGAAGAACCTTCTAGCGTTTAATACTGATTTTCGAAAGATGCCGGAGGAATGGCAAAATTATCAGCAAACGCCAAACAGTGACTTCAAAGATTCTTTTATTCCAGTAGGATTTCTTGCTGCTGGTGACATGGTATATTTGCAAATCATGAAATATATCCATTTCTGGAAGATAAAACGATCAATACGTTTTTTTCGCAGGTTTCAAATTCTGATGTTTCCAAACTGAGCCAAAGCTTTTCGCAAAGAAGAAATTTTGGCATTTCATTGGCGATATGGCTGTCAATACTAACAAAGGAATTCTGAAACTGACCGGTATTCTGAACCTGACAGGTTAGATAAATTCATTTTTTGAAACGAGTTTCACTTTAAATGGGAATAACATCCAACCAGCATTTAGCCACCTACAATTTTATATTACTGTATATTCAAAATATTTTATTTATAGTTATGACATTATGCTCTAGGCTTACCGCCATATCACATTAAAAAACCGCCTCTGTTACCATCACCGAAGTTAAGCAATGTCGAGCCTGATCAGTATCTAGCTGGGAGACCGCATGGGAATACCAAGTGTTGCAAACTTGAATGTGCCACAGGTGTCCTCTTCCTTTGTTTTAATATACAGGGTGTCCATAAAGTTCGTGAGCATTTTAAAACAATTATAACTTTATTTGTATTTGCGATAGAAATAATTTGTAAAAAGGATTTGAAAGAAGTAAATCTATATTTTTAAGGTTTTATTGAAATTTTATTTAAGTTTCCACATGTCGTCCATTATTAGCAATATAAAGTGTAATACGATTTTGCACTTCACGGAAAACATTTGCCAGCTTATTTACAGTAATGCCTGAAATCACATTAGTTATTTTAGCTATACTTAAAACTAGGCACATTAAACTTTATAGCATTTTTTACAGATTATTTCTATCGTAAATACAAATAAAGTTATAATTTTTTAAAGTGCACATGAACTTTATGGACAGCCTGTATTTCTCATGTTGCTCCCCTCTGTCTTTTCTACAAATATTTTCATGGCAACTGCCCTGACGAGCTACTTTCACTGGTTCCTAAACTGCATGAATTTAAGCGTGCTACTAGGTTGGCATCTCGGTCCCATCCTTTCACTGACGAAACAGTAAAATGTATCTGCCTCTTCTACTCCAACAGCTTCTTATCTCGCACCTCGTGTCAGTGGAAATGCCTTCCTATCACTTGCTTCCCTGATAGTTATAATATTCAAATATTCAAATGTAATATCAATCGACATCTTCTGATGCCTTAATCTTGATCCCGGTCCTTTTCTGTATCCTTTCCTCAAACACGCCTCTTTTAATCTCACTCTCTGTAACACCTACCTCTTTACTCTTACTTTCACTCTCTGTAACCCCTCCAGCTTTACTCTTACTTTCACTCTCTGTACCTTCTCCCTCTTTACTCTCATTTTCACTCTCTGTAACCCCTTCCGCTTTACTCTTACTTTCACTCTCTGTAACCCCTCCCTCTTTACTCTTACTTTCACTCTCTGTAACCCCTCCCGCTATACTCTTCTTTCACTCTCTGTAACCCTCCTCTTTACTCTTACCTTCACTCTCTGTAACCCCTCCAGCTTTACTCTTACTTTCACTCTCTGTAACTCCTCCCTCTTTACTCTTCTTTCACTCTCTGTAACTCCTCCCTCTTTACGCTTACTTTCACTCACTGTAACGCCTCCCTCTTTACTGTTACTTTCAGTCTCTTTAACCCCTCCCTCTTTATTCTTACTTTCACTCTCTGTACCTACTCCCTCTTTACTCTTCTTTCACTCTATGTAACCCCCGCCTCTTTACTCTTCTTTCACTCTCTGTAATCCCTCCCTCTTCACTCTTACTTTCACTCTCTGTAACCCCTCCCTCTTTACTCTTACTTTCACTCTCTGTAACTCCTCCTTCTTTACTCTTACTTTCACTCTCTGTAACGCCTCCCTCTTTACTCTTACTTTCAGTCTCTTTAATCTCCTCCCTTTTTACTCTTACTTTCACTCTCTCTAACCCCTTGCGTGTTAGAGACACTCTCGCCTTGCTTAGGTTGAAATGCTTAAAAAAATATTGATATGTATTCGGTCATTGCAAAATTTCGTGTCCGAATAGAAAATTTAAAAACAAAATCTTACACACTCGCAAAAATAAGCACAGGGTTTTCATTTGTTTTTAACAACTGACCCCATCATTCTACAGGATTGTCGATACCATTTTCGTAGAAATTACGTATTTTTTTTGTTTTTGATGGAAGAAGATTGTGAGGTAGTTTTCGACTGACCATAGAAAATCAAATATTTTACCATTTAAATTGTTCTGTGGAGACCGAAAGAAAATGAAAATCCGAACTCAGTAGAATACAGTGGGTGCCGGAGTCTGGGGGTCACATTTCAATTCTTTAATCTTTTGCAATATGAAGTGACACATATGAACCGAAAAGGGAGTTCTTCAGATTAATAATGGTTTTATTGATGGACCCACTCGATTTTTTTGTCTGTGCTTGTGTGTGTGCATATAAAAATTCAGGTATAAATATATCTGTAAAGACAATATAATAAGTAAGAGAAAAGACAAGGAAACGCATTTCATTACTTGAGAAATTTTATTAAGGCAAATGTAGAAATTTTATTTAGTAACATGTATTCATACACAGAAGTAATGTGTGGAAAAATAAAATGACGTTAAGTTTTCAAATTTTGAATTTGAGAACACTAAGATATTCTAAAAGTAGCCCAGTAAATTACTAGAGTTTAGCAGATTGAAATGCAAACAGAATTTTGTAAATAAAATTCAATAGGCCACCAGCAGTCAATAGATAAAGAAAAGTTCAAAAGATTTTCAAGAAAATTTCACAGGCACATCATACATCAGTGTCAGATAAATCTATTGAATTTAATATTTTTTATCATCATATATAGTATTTTAACTCAGTAAATGTGAAAGATTACAGGATTCAAAATATCAGATATATTCAAAATTACTGATTCTTTGCTTAGTTTTCTTTTTATTATTATTATTTTAATTTGTATTTCATAAAAATTAATTTGACCGAGTACAGAGAGTCAAATCTTTTGTCATTTAAATTGTTCTGTAGAGACTGGAACAAATTAAAATCCGGAGAATACGGTTGGTGCTGGAGGGCGGGGTGAAATTTCGACTAAGCTTTTGCTGAAACATGCAGTCTTGCATTGTTATGGTGAAAAATGACACCTTTTCGATAGTGCCAAAAATAGTATTTTAACTCAGTAAAAATGAGGCACAGTGGACGAATGGATAGCGACTCGCATTTAGGAATCGGAGAGCCGAGTTCGAATTCCAGTCGAATCCATTACATTTACTTACGTGTTAATACCCTTGGGAAAGGTATGAATCCTCTTCTTCAAGCTATGGGTAGATAGCAGGAAAGACCGGGTTGTATAGTCTTGGCTGGCAACTGTTCTATCGCAGAAAGATACGTGATCGCTTAGCGTGTATCACGTATGACACATAACTGACTGATAGGTTAAGGATTATAGGATTTAAAATATCAGATATATTCAAAATTACTGATTCTTTGCTTATTTTTCTTGCTTTTTATTATTATTTTAATTCGTATTTCATAAAATTAATTTGACGGAGTGTAGAGAGTCAAATGTTTTGTTGTTTAAATTGTTCTGTATAAACTGGAACAAATGAAAATCCAGAGAATTTCGACTCTAAGCTTTTATTGGAACATGCAGTCTTGCATTGTCATAGTGAAAAATGACACCTTTTCGATGGTGCCAAAATTGGCTGCTTTTCTTCAATAGCCACATTGGAATTTGTGAGTTGGTTGTAATAGTTCTTTGCAGTTATTGTTTCATCGCTTGTAAGAAGCTCAAAGTGAATTATCCCTTTGCAATTTTAACAAACGGACACCACCACTTTCACTGGATGCAAGCCTGCTTTGGCCATGTGTTCTGCACATTCACAAACTTGTTTCCAGCGTTGTTTGTGTTGAACATTATCATAAAGGATACATTTTTCAACATCAGGGAAAATTTGGTCCTTTTTATGGAAAGGAAATTTTTTTATGGAAAAGAAATTGCCGCAGAGACACGGTTGAACACGAAAACAAACATCAGTATCAAAAATCAGGATACAGTGTTATAGCTTTTACTTGAGAGTCTGTCTATATTTCTGAGATGAGGTATTATGTACACTATTTACATCATTCGGACTATTGTCCTCATCTTTGTCGCCATATTTATTACAACGTTTCGGCTTTTCAGTATCTGTCTATATTTCTGAGATGAGGTATTATGTACACTATTTACATAATTCTGACTATTGTCCTCATCTTTGTCGCCATATTTATCACAACGTTACGGCCTTTCAGTATCTGTCTATATTTCTGAGATGAGGTATTATGTACACTATTTACATTATTCAGACTATTGTCCTCATCTTTGTCGACATATTTATCACAACGTTTCGGCCTTTCAGTATCTGTCTATATTTCTGAGATGGGGTATTATGTACATTATTTACATCATTCGGACTATTGTCCTCATCTTTGTCTATATATCACAACGTTTCGCTCGTTGTACGCTCGGGCCTTCTTCAGGTGGTTGGAATGTCGAGCTGAACCCTTAATTTCGCTCACTGGGGTAGACTGTTCTAGTTCCACGTGCCATGTTTGATGGATGTCAGTTATCGCCTGTTAATTTCCCGGGTATTGAACTCACATTCTTTAGGTCCTGTCTAACCAACGCCTTTATCCACTGTGCCATGTGTCCTTGAGGACATCTGGGTATGAATTTCTGGGTATTATAAACCTAATGTATTCAGCAACCATTGTTACCACTCATATTGCAATTTTGCTGTTATCCTTGCATGTTTTTACCAGAGCTCATATTGCAACTATGTTGTTATCATTGCTTTTCTCTGGCACTCCTTATTACTGGTTCCCATATTGTATTTATTTCTATGCTTGGTCGGCGAGATCTTTTGTGGCCTAGCATATGTGCTGATTCTTTAAGTTTACGAATTTTCCAATGGTGTTCCTTGCAAATGATCTCAACATGATCCCACAGGGGGCGGTGATCTCCCTTCTCTCTCCATATGTGGTCAGCCACGCCTGATTTTTCTACTTCCCCTCGTGTTACAGTCTTCTGGTGTTCTTGAAGTCTTACCTTGAGGGGGCGGCCTGTCTCTCCTTTATATTCCTTTCCGCAGCTGCAGCGAAATAAAGGGTTCAGTTCGACATTCCAACCACCTGAAGAAGGCCGGAGCGTACAACGGCCGAAACGTTGTGATAGATATGTCGAAAAAGATGAGGACAATAGTCCGAATAATGTAAATAATGAGCTTTTACTTGGTTTCGAACCCTCGTTGTAGTTTTAACCAAAACGAACTCATTGCTGCCTCAGTAATCAGGCACATTGGTGCACTGTTACCTGCATGCATGCACAATAAATGCATTTTTAAAAAAAATCATTTTAAAAATAAATACCAAATTTATTTGAGAAATTGTTTCTTTAATAAAAATTGTAGAAATGGAACTTTTTTTTTCTGGTTGGTTAAATATCTTTGTCTGCTGACACT